CTAGAGTGTGATTGGCTAGAGTGTGACTGCCTAGAGTGTGATTGGCTAGAGTGTGACTGCCTAGGGTGTGATTGGCTAGAGTGTGGTGAATTTGCCCATAACTCTGTTGACCCAGATTTATCCATGGGCCTTTTAGCATCACTTACCTCATATTTTCAAATTGCATTCATGCACCAAAATGTGTTTTTTAGGGGCTGGGGATTTAGCTCAGCGGCACAGTGCCTGCCTGGCAAGGTCATAATTTTGATTCTCGGTACCAGAAAAAAACCAAACCAAACCAAACCAAACAAAAACAAAACAAAACAAAAAAAATGTGGTTTTTATTATTTTGCAACTTTTTGTTACATAATTTAAATATCTGGTAATTTGAATCAAACTGCTATAGTTTGTGCATTTTAATGTTAAACATCAAATCCATATTGACATATCATGAAGGGTTGTTGAAATTAAATCCTCCCCTCTTGTGTAGGTTAATGCCTCAGAAATTTTCAATTTCCGGATCATGGCTGTTGAGTAAGAGGATAGTAAATCTCTTAATGCCTTACGATTTTGGAATTATTAGTTGCATTTCCAAATAAGGACTAGATTTCACTTTATTCTGCAACAATAACATGTTTTTTTTAAACTATTTAGAAACATTGTGATAGACAGAAAGCCAATCTGCGAATTCGCTTCAGACCTTCCCTTTTCCAACATGTTGGTCTCCATTCATCACTGTCTGGGAAAATTCAGAAACTCACGGTTGGTGGTTCAATTTTATTTTCTCATGGATGTACAATTTGTTGTTTAGTGTGTACCTGTTATTTTTCTTCTTAAATATAAATGCGTTATATGTTATTCAATAGCATACCTGTCTTTTTTTCTAGGATAAAGACTACATGAAACCATTACTTCTTAAAATCCATGTAAATCCACCTGCAGAGGTATCAACTTCCTTGAAGGTTTATCAGGGGCACACACTGGAGAAAACTTATATGGGGGAAGATTTCTTCTGGGCTATAACCCCAAATGCTGGAGACTACATCTTGTTTAAATTTGATAAGCCAGTCAATGTAGAAAGGTTGGTGACTATTGAAATATATTTGCTCTTAGAATTTAGATTTTTCTTATTCATGGTGTGATTGATTTGTGGTAGAATGTCTTTTTGTGCCTAACAGATGTAAGGAGACAATGGGTTGCAGATGTTGGATTATAAATAACATTTAATGTGTAATATCATCATTTAACATATTTGGTAAATTCTGCAGGTATTTCTGGACTTCTATTTAGCACAATTTTTAAGTACTCTTATTTAAAACTTGCTCAAAATCTCAAATTAGTTTTCATATCCTTATTGTAGAATATCTTTGAGAACATCTTCATTTTTAAAATTTGACTGAGCTAGGTGATTAACTCAGCAATTTGGTTAAAATTTAACATACTGTGACCATTCTGAGTCAACGATTTTGCAAATACTAGATTATTGTTAGTATACCATGGAAGAGTTTACAGTCCTTTTATGTTTTGCAGCATTCACGTTCATTTTACAAAATTTAGTACTTTTTCTCCCTTTTTAAAACTTAATAATCATGATTCCTTCAACTCTTCGGTTTTGGGTGTGTTTTCCAGACTGCACATAGCATACTTAATAAAATGTAGCTCTCTATCCTGTGACATATATAGGAATATCCATTGATCTTCTGTATGCTGATCTTGTATCCTGCTACCTTGCTCTACTTAATAGTTTTAGGAATTTTTTGGTAATTTTTTGAGAATATTTTACTCAACCTTGTCATCTACAGATCAGAACAGTTTTATTTCTTATGTTCCAGTCTTTCCAATCTGTCTTTTATTTCCTTTTCTTACGTTATTATCTAGGCTAGAACTTCCAGTACGATGTTGAATAGTGGTGGGGGGGCATCCTTTCTTTGTGCTTGATCTTAGGGAGAAATATTATTCTGTGTTTGGCTATTCACTATACAGTTAGCTGTCGGGTTTTATGCATGCTTATTATCAAACTGCACAAGTTGCCATTCTGTTTCTAGGTTTTCTGAGTGAGTCTTAAATTTTGTCAAATTCATTATCTGCATCAGTTGACGTGAACATATGATTTTTCTTTACCTTGTTAATATGATTGACATTGATTTATGTTTTTAGTGTCAGGCCAGCTCAGTATCCCTAGAATACACTGGATAACAATGTGTAATTATTTTTATATATTGTTGACTACGTGTGCACATATTTTGTAATAATTTTTGTGTCCATATGTATAAATTGTATTAGTTTATAATTTTCATTTTTTTGTACTTTATTTGGGTTGGTGTCAGGTCGCTTTGTGAAATGAATTGAAGAGAGCTTCCTCCTATTTTTTGGAAGAGATTGTGTAGAGTTGGTATTGGTTCTTTACATGTCTTATAGAATTCTCCAGTGACACTGGAGATGCGGTTCTGAAGATCTCTTTTGGGGGAGTTTTTAAATTACAAATTTAATTTGTCTTTTTTTTTTAAATGAAAGTGATTTATGTGAAGGTGGAGGACGGGAAGAGAGGGAGAGAGAAGGAGAGAATAGACATGGCGAATTGCTACTCTAGAGGAGGTCAATAAAATTCACTTTGAAAGTGAATAACTTGTGGATTTTTTGTAAATCTAATTTTCTTAATGGTTGTAGGGCTGTTCAGATTATTGGCATTATCCAGTACTTTATCCCCAACCTCTTCCCCCTTCTGAGACTCCAAAGACATGACCGTTTGTTACAGTCCCTCAGGTTCCTAAGCCTCTTCGTTATTTTTCTTAATCTGTTCTCTCCCATTCTCCGAGCTGAGCAATTTTCATTGTTCTGCCCTCATAGTGATCGTCTCTTACCATCACTCCTCCACTTTGCTGTCGAGCCCATCCCTTGAGTTTCTGCTTTGGTGTGTGTGGTTGTAAAATTTCCACTGGATTCCTTGTAGTTTCTATGTCTTGGAGACTTGCTGATTTATTACTTGTTTCAAACATGTTAATGCTTCCTTGTTGAAGCCTTTTTATGATGGCTCCTTCGAATTTTTTTCCCAGGTAATTCTGGTGTTTCTGACATCTTTGTGTTGATGTTTGTTGGTTATCTTTTTTTTCTTACTCCACTGAGACTTTTCTTGGTTTTGTATAATGAGTAGTTCTTGCAGACGAAAGCCTGGGCATTGTGGGTGTGCTGTCCTGAGACGCTGAGTCACGTGCAGCCCTCCTGCGTTAGCTGGCTTCCCTGATGCGGCTCGGGTGGAGGAGAGGCGCTGCCGTCTCCTTTCTGCCTTGGGGGGAGAGGTGGCTTTCTGCTTGTCCCTTGTTGACCCCAGAAGAGGCAGAGGCCCCCCTTCTTTCTGCTGGATGGGTGGGGTGCTGGCTCCCACCTGACCTCTGTGATGTCACCCTTACAGCTCTCCCTGTGTTCTCCACCGACATCGCCCCATAGGAAAGAAGGTCTCCACTCCCCATCCAGCCAGAGGGGGTGCAACTCCGGGCGGGAGTGAGGGGGTGTGGAGTGCTGTGTCACAGCCGGGCGTGTAGCCCCACTCAGCCTTTGCGGCTGGGGGGCAGGATGGGCCACACTGTTTTTCTGTCATGTTGGCTGGTGTGAAGCAGTCATTGTGTAAAACTTCTTTCCTCTTCTGATCTTTGGGCTGCACCAAACAGTCTTGGTGTGGGGCTCTGACATCTGCCCCTGGGCCGTTTCCAGGTGGCTGACATCTCTAGCTCCACGTCTGAAATGTATGAGGTGAAGGAAAATCTCAGAGCTCATCAGCACATTGTTCCTTGGATTCCAGAGTCCTTAGCCAGTCTGTCTCCCCTCAACCTTCCACAATCTTTCTTCCCCTTTCAGTACTGGGGAGTGAACTGAGGGCCTTCTCATTAAGCTCCATCCTCAGCCCTTTTAATTAATTAAGTAATTAATTTTTTGAGACAAAATTTCACTAAGTTGCTCAGGCTCAAACCTGTGATCCTCCTACCTCCCCTCCCCGAAGCAGAAGTTCCCATGAGCACTTTACTTCTGTGTTTGGGAAAAGAAGATAGAGGTGGGGCAGATGGACCATCGAAGAGTCTGCTAAAGACCTTCTGTGTTAGAAATAAAAATTTTTTTACAGCAATACTTTCACTTTTAAGCTTCTCTGAGATAATATTTATGTGAGAATACACCTATAAATTGGGGTCACATTGCTGGTAGAACACATTTCTTTGAAAGTTATGTTTATGCATTTTCTCAGTTTGTGGAAACACCTTTCCTAGGACAGAGAAAGGGAATCACTTTTTGATTCCCACAATTCTTTATTTGCTCAGAGGGGACAAAAAACCAAACTTGTATTTCTCAGTATAGATACGAAATGTTTTCTTTTCTGACACTGTGTTCATGACACAAAAGTCTGAAGAATGAGGAGAAAAATCTCAACCCCGTGGACACCGCTGTGGCCATGCTGGCACATTTTTTCTGGGTGTTTCTACGTGCTTTCTACTTTGGCTCACAGTCAGGATGTGATTTTTCAGTGTGCTCTGCCGTGAGTGTTTTAAATGACGTAGACGCTGTCATTTACTTTAGTGGTATTCTCTCCAGGTGGTGGTGAAGTTTTCACTGGGCGTAATCACAGGGTGGACGTCTCTGAATCGGTCCAAACTCCAGCTTATATTCGTGCACGCTCTCCTCCGCAGTGGCCTGCCCAGCCCCGTGCTTTGACCACCTTAGCGAGAGAGAGAATGCCCAGTTGTCCCGTGACACCGCTTTCCCAGTTAAATGTGCCCTCCTAAACTGTTGGAAGTTTCCAGTGTGGGGTAGAAAGAGCCCCCCCTTCTCAGGATGTTCCCGTCCTCATCACGTGTGATTTCTGCCACACGTACCTCCTGTCACACACACTTGGCTGAGGGTCTGAAATATGCAGGGTGCTTTTCACCAGTTCCTCTGAATTCCTTGGGACAGTCATGCGTGATGAGCAAAGGTTTGTACTTTGAACAGAGGAGACTCAGGCGTGGGAAGCTCATGAACCTGACCAGAGGTGAAAGCTCTTGTAACGAGGGACCCAGGTCTTTCTAACTTCTAAGCCTGCACTTTCAGCTAGTCAATGTAACTAAATTTAAGTTAACTTTCCATGGATACATCTGCTGTCTGTCCTCTCTGGCTTACACTCTTACCACACTACAGTGAATCATTGGTTTTTAGAGTGTCAAAATGCAAGAGCTTTATACTCAACACCCAAAGAATTTTCTAGATTTATCACAGTGCATCACGTAATTAGTGAACCTTCAAGTGGTTTTCAGTAGTGACAATAGAACTACTCAGATGTTTGGAAGAAGTTAATTTAGTCTCACTCTACTGCTACGGAAAGGATTCATGGATGCCCCGGGGAAGGCCCTCCCTCATCCAGATGTGCTGTGCTTCGGGCTACTCCCAGCCAGTGGTGTTCTTACCCGAAGCATTCCAAGCAATAACGTGAAACCACTGTCATTTTCAGTAGTCGGTTAAGTCTGAGGTTACATTCAGCAGCCGAGGCAGTGACGCTGCCCGCTGCCCGGAGGGATTGACACATTGCCCGGGTGGTGCCCTCAGGTTCTCTGCCCTGTGCAGAATCCGCGCTGAGCACCTCTAGAGTCCTGGGTGATTTGAGCTGCTGGAGTTGAGGTCATTTTCTCGCATCCCGGTGAAACCGAGCCTGACAGTATTTTTATTCTGTGTCCTTGTGTTCAGTTACTTGTTCCACAGCGGCAACCAGGAACACCCGGGAGACATCCTGCTCAACACAACTGTGGACGTTTTGCCTTTAAAGGTACTGCTGTCCCTTCACTGGCGCTCCCCTGAGAGCCAGCCCTAGGGGCCTTGGTTTGAAAGGAGGTGAGATGCTGGTGAGATGAAAGAAAAGCCTGCTTACTTGTAGGACTCCACCTCTGGGTAACATTGGTTTTTGTGGAGTACACTGTACCTGCTATATTGGCCCGTTTTCCTTATTCATAGAGATGGCCTTCGTTTCATTTTCTGTTGGGAAACAATGCGAAGTTTGTGCTATAAACAAATCATCATTTTACTTTAATGTTTACTTGTTGTTTGTATTTTGAGCCCCAAAGTACTACGTAAACATTTAACACCTGTTGATAAATGCACAAAATTTTATTGATCTATAAATGTTAGGTTTCTTTCATGTTACCACAGTGCCTTGCCTCCGTATTTATTTTTTCTATATGGTTTTCAATAGGAAGCGATGCTCAGTTAACCTAGTATCTCATTTCCCAACCACTGTTATATTATGCACAAATTCAGATGCTCATTTTAAAAAAACGTTTATGGATAAGTGGCAGCTCAGTTTTCTTTTTTAGAGATAGATGGGTCACAAATGCCACTTTCATTTATATTAAGATGTCTTAAGATAAATTTATTTTAAATAAAATTTCTTGCACAATTAATATTTTTGTTTTATTTTAGAGCGCAGGTTTGGAAATAAGCAAAGAAACCAAAGACAAACAATTGGAAGATGGCTATTTCCGGATAGGTAACGTCTTCTTGAGTAAAATAGCCTTTCTTTTTCTAGACTTATTCCTAAAGTAATTGTAAGTGCTTCGCAGACATTAAGCACGTTGAGGGTCAGAGTTCCCAGTGTGCCCCTGGCTTTGCGTGTTCCTGTGTCATTCTCACCCACAGAAGCTGTGATAAGAGTTCATTCAGCAGTTCCTCATCCTCCTCCATCTGCCCTGTCCTTGGTACCACTCACGGCAGGGCGGCCCTCCGCTGCCTCTTGCTGTCTGTCTCTGCCTGGGTGGATTCTGGATGCCACAATCTGCACTTTGTGTCCCTGCCCCCCACCCCAGTGTCCCTTCGTGTCCCACTGACACTGGTGGCCACCTGGTTACCTCCTCTGAGCATCCATAACACTGGCATTTCTTTATTTCTGTTTTTTTTGTTTGGTTTTTTGTTTGTTTGTTTGTTTGTTTTTTCATACCGGGAATTGAACTCAGGACCTTATGCCTGCCAGGCAGGCGCTTTTACCACTGAGCTATATCCCCATCTGGCATTTCTTTATTTACCACCGTGATTCACTGCCCTTGCCTGTGTAACTGCAGGAGCCCCACCTTGGGAGTCATGCAAATGTTCTCTCCTGCCTCTGAGGGTCCTGAGTCACCTTGTGCGGGTGCCATGTACCCTCGGTCTTCAGGGAGGGGACCGCGTCAAGCTGTATCTGGACCACTGCAGCTACCACTGTGAAATATAAAAGTAGCAAGATGGACCTGGGCAGACATCTTGGTGACGTTCTGTTATTGGGTTCCTTCGCTCCCACCCACCTTCATCCTCTTTTCCTTTCTCCAGTCCTGAGCTGCTTTCCCTTTGCGTGGTCACAGTTCTAGCCATTTTCTCTGCTGAATTGCTCTGTTATTTTTCCTCCTGATCAATGCTCTGGTGTCCAGGATCCGCTCACACCCCCTAGTGGCTGGGAAGCAGAAAGGGAGCCAGGAAAGAGCCGTGGTCCCAGTGTCTCTAAGGCACATGCAGGGATCCGGCTTCCTCCTGCTAGGCCTCCAGGGGCCTTGGGAAGGCTCTGGGTCTTGGGACGCCGCTCCAGATCTGAACTGGATCCACATGTGTAAATCCCCTGATGCAGCTGCCCCTCCTCTGTCTGTCGGCCCACGCTGCGGGCACTGTAATGAGGGACTTACTAGACTCAGCTCCACCCCTGTGCTCGCCCTGGGATTCTGATTCAGTGAGTGATTGTACATTTTCGCTTCATTCAAACAAATTCATGCTTTTCATAGTAGTAAGCAAAAGAGAAAAGGTAAGTGAACCTGCAGGTCTGCAGGACAGATGTGTTTCCCTGGCTTGCTCTGGAGCAGTTTCCGTGTCAGGCACTCAGCTATTCCTGGACAGCATGTGCCTGATGACCCTGCTGACTTCCTGTGGTCTTGGTGGATCGAGGGAGGTGTTTTCATGTTTGGGCTGCCTCCTAGCTGATCTCTAGAAGTGCACATAAAATTAGCTGAGTACCTGAGACATTTATTACTCCTATTGTCTATCAGCTGTGTAAGTTCTAAGAATATGTTCTAGATTATCAAAGTAGCATAGGAAACTGTGACTGTAGGTGAACTAGCTCTGCTGTCACTTGAAGAGAATGACCATCTGCACTATCGACTCATCAGTACTAAGAATCAGGAAAACTTGCAGATTGTCCCACTGGAGGCCTCGTATAACTAACACGCTCATCCGAAAGGAAGATTCTGCTCCCTTACCTCGTAGTGGAAGAGGGTGTGAAAGGCTCCAGGGACCCCTCCCTAGCAAAACAACTGTAATTAGTGGTGATTATTTTTTAAAAAGCACAAGCTATGGACCTAAAAGCTCTAAAGATTATCCCAAGGGAATACAGCACATGGAGATGCACCAGTTCCGAAAGGCCCCTAAATCTCAGTGGTGGCCCTGAGGCTGCAGCGTTTGGGTGATGAGCTGCCCCGTCGGCCACGACACCCGAGCTCAGTGGGATGGGGGCGGAGCAGGCCCTCTCTCCGGGTGTCCGCGCCCGGCTCTGCAGGTAGAGCGAGGCGTCCAGGCTCCACCAACCTCCAGTGCTAAGACACACAGGCTGGCACAGCGCGACAAGGATGCTGGGTGTGGACACTGTCGCCCAGCTCACTTGCCCCAATGCACGGGGAGAGGGAGGCCGAGAAAATTGGGTGCTGCTGCCGTAACTGGTGCTCTGCTCATAAAGCGGGTGTCACTGCGGGAGAAGGGGCTGCAGTTCCTGCCCGATACTGGGCCGTGGTGGGGAGGTGTGGCCAGGGAGGAAAGGCAGGCGAGAATTACAGTTGTTTTGCTAGGGAAAGGAAGCTCTGGGGCTCTTCCACAGGGCCTGACTTGCATTCCACAGAGCCTGAGGAGCGCCCTTCTAGGGGTGCTCTGGAGCACAGTGGAGATTTGGGCGGTAGCTACACACAGGCTAAACTGGAGCCCAGCCGGAAGCTTCACAGGGAGACCCCAGGAGACAGGTAGCTCCTTCGAGCCCTCTTGGGTGGGAACAGCCACGAGGAAGGGCCCTGCCCTGGAGCCTGATTGAATTGGACCGGCTACTGGCTGCAGGTGTTGTTGACCAGGACAGACGGTCAGCGGCAGGGTGTGGACTCCCAGCGCTGAGGTGGGGTCGGTCTGAAGAGTGGCTGTCTTGGGGGAGAAACACTGGGCGAAAGTTAGGAGCGGGCAGAAGACCCTTCTGCAGAGAAGAGCGGACACGATCACCCCGTAATCTCCCCCTCCACGTTGCGCTTCTTTCCTACCTCTTAGTGCTTGTTGACCACACCGTGGGGTCGAGGACAAACACTAATTTGCAGCGAGAATGAGTGCACATGGTTCTAGACACTGTACGGACCGAGCCCTGTCCCTCCTCTGGGCTGTCCGCCAACTGCTCCCTAGTGGCCGGACCTGTAATGCTTTCTGCCCTTTCAGAAATGTCCTGTGCCCAGTGAAAAATATTTGTACACGCCGGCACTAACGCAGTCTGTGTCTCTGTTCTGTCTCGTTTTTTTCACCAAAATACACAGATACATACAGGACATGAACATTTAAAAATATTTTCAATATTTTGATGCACAACAATATACAAATACAATCATGAATATCTGCACATTCACATCCAGTTTAAAATTTGTCCATCCAGTGTCCTCCCCTGACAGCTTCTTTTCTACCCAAAGGCAAGGCAACCCTCTTCTGAGTCCCGTGCTTTGAAAATGTGATACACATGTCACTCTCGGGTCTGCAACTTGTATTTTTCTCTCACTATGGTGAGATTCACCCATGGGGCTGTGTGTGTGTGTGGCTCATCCCCTTTCCCCTTTTCAGATGCTGTGCACATGTGTGAGGGTTTCTCTGTCATGTACACTTAGGAATCTTCAACTGTGATCTTCAGCTTAAGCTCACTCTTTTTGTTTAACTTTCCATTGGTTATTTCGAATTCCCTGTTAGCATACAAGGGCAGGTCAAAACCTGCAATGCATGTTTAAATAAAAAACTTACTACAATAAAAGACCCATTACCCTTAATTCCCCTCAAAATCCTCCCCCGACTTTGAACACACTTCCCTATTGTACTTGACACTCTGAAGCAGTTCTGGGGCTCCTCTTGTGTTTATGAGGTATGATTAACAAATATGGTGCATGCAGCTGCTGCGTGCCGTCCCGCAGAAAGATGGCCTTGTAAACTTCACAGCGTGCTTTCGTTCACGTGACTGACTCGCTTGGCACCATGTAGCTTCCCCAAAGTCAAAATGACTGTGATAGGTTAATATTTTGAATCAATTCAGGACATCAGGGCAGCCACAAGTGCATAACTAGACACTCATGAAACAGGACTTCCACATCTGCTCCAGAAAGTGACAGGAATAGGAAGATAAGTATATTAAAAGTCAGGAGTATTTTGAGGAAGATTGATGGCAATGCATCTTTTTAAAGTAAATTTTTTTTTTATTTTTAAAGAAAGTAGTACATGAGAAGCAAACAAACAAAAAAATAGAACAGTAGCAGCATACCAGTATCACGAACAGAAACAAATCAAAGCAAGAACATGCAAAGTGATACAGGCTCTGAAGACAAATTAATATAAATCAACAGTGGTTGTTACATTGCATATCACTATCCTCAACTACACTGCTCAGATTATCAGATGTAAGAATGAAAGATTGCTCAAACCATTAAAGAGAATAAGAAAATAATTCTTAAAACAGTAGAGATAATACAGAGTTTCACTAGACAAGATGGAGTTCACCATTGTAATTCTATTGCATATTGTTACCTTCAGATCAGTTGCTCAGTTAAAGTAACTTCTTAAAAAATTAAATATTCACATATTTTTCAGTCACATCTTATAACTTATTTAGCCAGTTTTCTAGTGATGAGCGCCTGTCCTGTTGGCGATCTTTCGACACCATACACACGTTCACACATAGGAGAGTAGCTCAGGATATAGCTGCAGAGTGGAAGTTTTTATGAAGCTGGTTATACCGTCTGGTAATTACTTTTCTAAAGAAAAGAGATCAGATGACACTGCTAGATACGGCATTTGTTAAAATGTTATAAGTTCCACAATATTTTTCTCTTCTGAATCCCCTGCATTATTCAATATTCAATAATACTTTCTCTGTAGCATACAACCCCTACCCCAGTCCAGCAGCAAGTGTGGACAAACTTGCATGAAATTTTTAAATGGTTGGGAAAAAATAATATATTGTGACACGTAAGATGATATAAAGTTCCGTTCTGAGCATCTGTAGTTTTATGGTGTGAGCCGCGCTGCCTTGCTTATATGCACCGTCTGTGTGTGCTTCCGTGCCAGCCGGTGTGAGTGGCTGCAGGTCAGGGTTGTGCTCGCCTGGCTTCGTGCTGCCGCTCCTGCCCTGCAAGTCACAATGACATGTCTATATTGGATAGGTTGCAAGTGCTGCAGCTGCCGCTAAAGTGTGACCTTTTAAATTATAAGTGCTTACTCATCATGTCAAAACAAAAAGAGAAGACTTTCGACGGTGTGCTTTAACCCAGTGGAACATGGATTATTTTTCAAAATAAGGTGTCAAATCATTGGGGTTACTGTGCAGTTATGTTACTATTGGTGTACATTTCTACACTGAACACTCCCTGTAGTATTCCCCACTTGGAAAAATTAGAAAGTTTAAAGTGGCATGTCTCCTCTCCAGCAGAAGTTTTTCTCAAAAGTAAAAAATGGAAACAAAGCTATGAAAAGTGAGTTTCCAAGTGGCTTAGTAATCAAGCAAGAAAGCAGCAGCCATGAATTAATTGAATCATGTTTAACTGCAGAGATGTGGATACAGAGAAAAATAATCCTGTTTAAGATGAGGAGGCCGTCAGCCACAACTGCTTGGAGAGTTGAGGACACTGGCAGTAATATCAGTAGTCAAGAAGCAAAATCTTCTGAGCGGTCTTCTTGGCTCTCGAGTTGACAGAAGTCACTGACACTGCTCAGTACTTGTTTGGAATCAGTGCCAAGGCTGCAATGACTGAGCAGTTGGGCCCATGAGTAGTCTATTTGGAACAACTATAGACAGGAATATTTTCACGCAGGTTAAGAAAGTACAAATTCGGGCTGGGTCCAGTGGCACATGCCTGAATCTCAGCTACTCAGGAGGCTGAGGCTGGAGGATCATGAGTTACAGCCCAGCCTGGGCATTGTAACCAGACGCTGTTTCAACAACAGCAATAAAACATTACAAATTTATTACAAACTGAAGCAGAATCTGCTAAGATGTGTTGCAATGAAATGGTAAAAATGGTTGAGTTGCACTGATTTACAAATCAGTGGTGAAAATACATGGTGTTCAAAGCCTTATGGTTATTTTATTATCAGCCAGGTACTTTGCAAAAAATATTTGTATTTGTCATATATTGTTGAACCAAAGTGTCAACAGTGAACTGTATTTGCTTTTATGAACTTAGCCATTATTAGTTCAGAGAATTTTTGTCAGACATAAGAACTGACTATTCTGACTTGTTCTACCACAGAATAGTACAGTGGCTTAGCAGTGATAAAGTTTTACTAGGGTGGTTTTAGGCTGGGGACCAAGATTGCAATTTCTCTGAAAGAGAAAAATTGCCCTCAACCATTACTGTCACTTTGAAAACTGGTATAGGCTGCAGACTTGTTAATGTGTCTTCATGAATTTGACCAAAATTACAAGATAAAACAGTGCTTGTATGTAAAACTTATATTGCAGTTGTTTTGGTGACAGCAACATTGTTTGAACTATTAAGTTAAAGTTCTTTATACACTTCTTATGCTGTCAGAAGTTAGGAGGCAGAATTTCCATCCTACACACATTTATAGTAGATACACAGAGTCCACCACAAAATGTATACATATTTCAGGAAAAGAAAAACTTACATAAATATTTGAATGCACACCAGACACTTACTCATGATAAATTGACTACTTTGTCCACATGCATGTTAGGATTTTCATGTCTCAATAAATTTAGTGTTAAAATATTTATATAAGTTTTTCTTTTTCTGAAGTGTATATACATTTTTGTGGCGGATTCTTTATTTTTCAAGCCAAAACTGCAGTTCCACCAACAGTTTTGGACCTTAGTGCAGATAAATTTTCCATGCTTCAGAACCTACCTGTGTGTGCAGAGGGGTGAGGGGCGGTTTGCACATAACCTTCAGTTAGAAATGACTCATCTGTAATGTAATAAATGATATACTAGAAAGTGAATCAAAGAGAAAAATCTAATAGAATTCCATAAATAACTTCAATGAATGTGTGCCATTGAAAATTCCCTGTTTGGAACTTGACATTAGTATTTGGTCGTACCTACACTGTGTGGGGACATTCCAAAGGTCAGATATATAAAGTGTCATTATAGATGAGCATCAGGGGCTGGGGATTTAGCTCAGCGGCAAAGCGCCTGCCTGGCAAGCGCAAGGTCGTGAGTTCGGTTCCCGGTACCGGAGAAAAAAACAACAACAACAAAAAAAACCCCACAAAAATAGATGAGCATCAGCAGATGAACATGTGTGCTGAGTTTTGATAATAGAGAAACACTAATTTTGAAATCATTTAAGTGAAGTTGTCCCAAGAAAAAAGTTGTATTCTCTTTATTACACTTCTGTTACAAAAAATTGTACTTAATTATTACTAGATAGTGAATTTCATCAGTAAAGAATTTGTGAGAATTTGTTTTCTCTTTCTAGATGTAAGCCTCTACCTAGTATCCTCAATCTTGCTCTTGATCCACGAAGACTACCCTTTATGGAAAAATTTGAGAAACTGAGTCCAAAAGGAACTAGTTTCTTCTCACTTTTCCGACAGCATTTTATTACTTTGTTTTAAGGAGTATAGTATTCCTTACAGCAAGAAAAATTTGATAAGAAACGTACAACCTTATAACCTTTTATAGACGTTCTTGGTTCTTGTTCTTATAGGAAAGCTTTTTCTTTAACGCTCATTATTTTTAATGGAGTTTTTTGTATGGGAACTATGTAGAGAGGGCATTAGTTCTTATTCCTTCTAGAAGTTTCTGTGGAGAGAATATGCATGGAGTGAGCCCCAGCACAAGGCCAACCACTGTGTGTACGAATGGTTTAATCACTGATGTTTGGGACGGCTGACCCACCCTCCCGAGCAGTCAGCTTGGGTGATAGTACAGATTATATTTTGATAAACTTTGAATAAGTCACAATTTACTAACATTCTGCGGATTAAATCATCATTAATGCAAGAACAAATATATTTCTGTTTGGTTTTTAAAATTTAGAGTGGGCATATAGGTTTAGCTCTGCCCAATGAAGTAGGTTGCCTCTGTTTAAAAAGTGGAAAAGGAACAAGTTGTTCAGATATCTACTAGAAAGACCTGGGGTATTCCTTTTCTGCCTTAAATAAGTGCTTTTAGTATGTGTTTATCTCAGACTGTCCCATGAGTACTGTTTTTGTTTTGAAGGAAAATTTGAGAACGGTGTGGCAGAAGGAATGGTGGACCCCAGTCTAAACCCCATTGCAGCCTTTCGACTTTCAGTTATTCAGAATTCTGCTGTGTGGGCCATTCTTAATGAGGTAAGAACATACTAAAGGTACTGCTTTATTTTGTTACATTTTCATTTTACATTTAAGACTTTTTTGAAATTGAGAATTAATAGTCTTACACATTGCATTATTTTGCATTTCAGATTCATATTAAAAAGATCACCACTTGACCATCTAAGAAATCAACGTGTTTTTCCCCTCCATCTGTCAATTAAAGATAATTAAGCATGTACTTTTTTTTAAACTTGAACACTACCTCTTGTGAAATCTACTGTAGATAAGATGATTGTCATTTCCACTTGGAAAGTGAATCACCCATGGATAAGTGTATTCATTTGAAGTTACACCGTCCTCTAATTTTAACTTGACTCAGACATTTTACAATTATGACAGCCTGTTAATATGACTTGTACTATTTTGGTATTATACTAATACATAAGAGTTGTACATATTGTTACATTCCTTAAATTTGAGAAAAATAATGTTAAATACATTTTATGAAGGGGGTACTTTTGAAGTTCATTTATTTTACTATTATGGACCCTCTTTTATAGATTATCAGGGATTATATATATATAAATATATAAATATACATACAAATGTTATGGAGTTAATTTATTGGAAACACTTAAGAAGTACATATTTTTGTGCAGTAAATTTTGGAATCGATACTTTTTTTGAAAACGTTACCTTGCTTTTTTAAGTTCTTTCTATATCTTTTCTTTGAAAATGCCAACATTACGAATCAATGCCATTTTTCAAATGCACTGCCATTTAAGATTGACTAGAGGTGGATTTCTTAACTGAAGCACTTTTCTAATAACAGCGACTCTGAACAAAATATTTTCAAAGGCATTTGTCATTCTTTAAAGCCAAGATTTTAAAGACCAACGGCCTTCTCGAGGGTTCTTTTACGGTACCGTGTATGGTGCGCAGCCACAAGAAATAAGTGTGGTGATTTCAGCAAGCAGGGGTGACGTGTCCAACGCGAGTCATCAGCGAGTCGACGCCTAACACTTCCTCCGGGTGAGGATGAAAAACTCTTCTTTCCTTTTTAATCTTTGTCTTCAATTCATGAGTTAGATGTATTCCGTCCTTTTGATCCTTTTATATCTGCTGTCATTTTCTGAGTTCTGACAAGATGTTTTCTATGTAATGTTCTTGTACGAGTCGTAACGGGTATAATTTTAAAGAAAAAGTTGTAATACTGATTTTTGGTGAAAGGTATTGTAGCAGTTGTTTTTCCAGAATGATTTATTCTACTGCATTGCATTACGAAGTAAATCATGTGTCCAAAAAGAGCATTTTTTACTCTTAATACACCCAATTCTAAATATTATTATAGTCAAAGAATTCCATCAGCCTCAGCAGTCAGTGATCTCTACAAAGTAAAGTCATGAACTGGGCACCGGTTCCCAGCTAGTCTCCTCGGATAACCCAGTGGGCTGCTGTACAGACTCATGCTCTGGGCTTTGAGTGGCCCTGGCTTAGGCCTGGGTCGTGGTATCCGGCCTGGAGGAACTTCATCAGTTACCAGTGTATACCACAGATAGCACGAAGCAGTATCATTTTCTGTGCAGTGTTACAAAGGGGGAAAGTAGGAGATGTTGACATAGCTATTTTCATCAGTCTGTGTTGTAATAGTTTTTACTTCCCTTGCCTGGAAAATCCATGATGATGTCAATAATGATTCTTATAGCAAAGTCCAATTAGAATGTTTTATTGGGGGTTTAGGTCTTCACATTTTCTTTACTTTTTATTTTTTTCTCCAGTTTCTTAAGCTCAGTGCCCACAAGCACATTTCTTCAAAAAGAGATGTGACCTTTTGTTATAAATGTTGGCCCCAGCTTTCAGCATATTAGATTATTGCTGAAGCTACTGAGCAGGAGAAGGTAGAAGTCTGTGCAGATGGGCCTAGGGGTCCCCTTGAGTTCGTGGTCCCTCAGAGGCCAGCTGTGACTTAAGGAAGAAACACTATTCTCTGAAATAGAGTGTTTCTGACAGATGCAGAGCTCCCAAGGGCAGCTTGTCATTGGTGCTGCTTGGTGTACTGTGACAGGTGCTGTGTGACCTGTGTTAGTTGCTCCCTGTTTTTAATCCCATCCAACACTAGGCAGTCAGCGGCAGCCATTGTGTCTCCCAGCAAGGAACTGTGGCAGGAGCCCTGCAGGGTGGTGCTAGGGTGGAGTGGGAGGAGGTAAAGAGTGCCTGGAACTGGAAGAAGAAAAATATACCGAAGCACTTTTACCAAAGCAGTGAGTGAGAAAAGTGTCACATGGTGGACTCATTATATGTGTAAAAGGGCATAGTTTGGCATCTAGTGTGTATTTCACAATAAACTGTTGCTGACCTATACAACAGCCACTAGACACAGGGTGGCTATTTAAGTTAAAAAGTAAAAAGAATTTACTTTTGCATTTGCCCTAGCTACATTTCAAGTATGCAGCGGCCATGTGTAGCTAGTGACCACCAAACTGGACACCAGAGAAACAGATCATTTCCTTCCTTGCAGGAAGTATTATTGGATGGTACTATGTGGAGAGTGCTGATGTGACTCTTTAGGAGCCAGAATTCATTAATGAGGTTAAAAGTAGGCAGGAATATATTATAATGCAAATGAGTATTAGGAGGCAAGGTCCAAGGTGTCTTAGTTCTGTTAGACTCAAGTATTCTCAGCATGCACTGTATCGTACCATGTAGTCAAGATAGTGATTGAAAATGTTAGAAAAAGTTAATGCAAACATGTAGCGTGTGGACTAGACATGTAGGTATGTATTCAGCCATTAGAGATGTCTTTAAACAGAGGCACTGTGGCTTTTCAGATCAGTGGCTGCACCGTAAAGAATTAAAAGGTGTAATCATTTTAAAAGCCATCAGCAAAGCTGTTAAGGCTTCTTTAAAATCTTTCATAATAAGGAGAAACAAAATTGTCTCCCAACAATGCCGTCTCTCAAAGAAAAGTTTGGTTATATGGAAACGGCACATTGGAGAGATTGTCCAGTTAGGAGCAGTGTGTATTTGTGCTAAGGCAGAATCAGAACAGTGATTCCCCCCAACCGTCGTGACCGTGTATAATAGAATTCCCTCCCCTGAGCATGGGTGGGACTGCACGGTTCATGATTATGCTGTGCTTTACAGAGCAGAGGGGAGATGATTGGGGGTCACTAGTCCAACGTCAGCCCTTTCAAAGCAGTCTCCTCCGAGGACAGCTCAAAACACCATTGCTGGTTTTAAGGGCAAGGGGCTGCATCAGAGCTGAGAGTGGCTCTGGTAGCCAGGAAGGAAAATGGACCTCATCCCTGTAGCATGGGAACCGAGTATAGGGCACAGGTTCATTCATAGGCCGAGAAGTGGGTTTGACTTCAGAGCCCAGCCTGGTCAGCGCCGGGCTCTCAGCTTTGGGGGACCCTGAACAGCATTCACTTAGGCCTGCTCAGACTTCTGACCTGCAGCCCTAAAATGACTGGGTGGTGTTTCGAGCTGTTAGATTTGTGATTTGGTGCTTTGCAGCAGTAGAAAATCTTTGAAAGTGGTGAAGAGAAGTCTTCGTCCTTGATTCCAGATAGTATGCTGGTTGTTTTTTTTTTTAAACACACGTGGGTAGAACCTTCACTAGGAAATGACATTCCTGGGCTTTAGGTAGAATGTTCTCTGCCAGAGGTCAGAGTCTTCATTAGCAGGTTCTTAGTGACAGAGCTGTAGCATTTTATGAAAGAGATGCAGGAATGAGATTGTGGGACTGTGAGGAATGTTTTTTCCTACCTGAGGTGTTCATACTGATTTAGAGATTGCTCTGAAGTATACAAAAGAATGATGAACAGTGGTATTTTAGGTAAGATGCCAAATTAAGAGAAAAAATTTCTGCCTTTACAATAGAGTTTAGATAATTTGTACGAGGGACTTGTTTTTAAAAATCAATTTATCTAACAGATCAAACCCTATTTGTGCCAACCAAATTTTTGTACTTTGATGTTTTCCAAAATATCTGCTTCTAAGATGTTAACTGCTAATGAAGTTTTTTTATTTTGGTTTATGTATTAAGTTTTGTGCTCATTTTTACTATATTGCCATAGCCTTGATGGAAGACAAACGGAGCTAAATGAAAGAAGATGAGGCTGTTAGATTTGTCAAAAGATCACAAATTTGTGTCATAATCATCTCTTCACATTGTAAAGGAACGTAGCTATCCAATCCAGTCTCTTTATAGAAAAGGAAACTTTCCCAAGCTATGTACCAATATTTATAGTATGTAAATTTTAATAATGGTAAAATTTTAAATTAATCTTAACTGATATATGCTATGACAACTAGTATGCTTATTTTATTTCTTTAATGCATGTGAATATACAATGCTAAAAGGACAACAGCATTATTATTTTGTAAACAAAAAGCAAATCAAGGATTTTGTTACAGGTACCCTTACATCACCACTAGCTAAACTCTTCTTACCTGAAACTCCTTCCTCCGGTTTTTGGGCACTAAGTAGATCTTTGTCAAAGAAGCCGGCACCTGATCACGTGCTTGGGCAGAGAGAAAGGTGCCCTTATTTAGGACAGCAAAGGGAGTGTTGAGGAGAAGCACTTGCGCAAGGCATGGGTCCACTTTGTTAATGCTGCAGTAAAATGTAAAGAACAGCGGTGCTAACACTGGTCTGAAATAGAGATTGTTCCTTGTGGGGAATATTTTAATATTCTTGGACATTAGGGAGGTTATATTATATCACTTGATCTTAGCAGCTTTATTGTATTAGTCATTAGCAAATTGTCCTAGAATCAAAGGTTCAGTAGTCAGCTCGGGTAGCATTCCATTACTGAACTGAAATGCTCATGTATGCCCCAATTTGGTGAAAATACCTTTGAAGACATATTCTCTGAGCCTTAAAAGTGGCTGACATCGACAGTACTGTAAGATGCACTGCCAGCAGATTTGATACTTTCATTTCGGTAGACACAGTACGTTTTCTAAGGAAGATTTAGAATCCGCTAAACCTAATGATTGTTTCGTGTGTGGAATGAGAACTAAAGCGTGCACCGTTCCGCACACTTCCTCTGGGAAGGCTCTTCTGCATCCGGGGGGATTCTGGAGCATCCCCTGGAGAAGCTGCCAGAGGATCTCTGCCAGGCTGTACCAGATTTTTCTTTCCAAATGTATTGTACATATTTTCCTTAGGATGTCTTCATGGGTTGGACGGTTAATATATTTAGTAATACTTTAGGTACCTGTTGGATTTTTAAAGGAAGATTATGTATTTTCCAGTTTGCTGCTATAACTGAAATCCTAATAACTGGTCCTGTTGACTGTGCCTTTCATCCCCGTTTCTGTGCCACAGCAGTTCATGTGTATTTGAAATAAAGAACTTTGAAAAGCCACGTTGAGTTGAAGATTCCTTCTAATAAAGCTAGGTGGAACTGAATGTGTGGTTTTCTTAAAAAAAAAATTAGAATTGATGGAATAGTTGATCTATTTTCAGTTATAAACAAGAGTACTTTATTTGACTTCTGGTTGAGTTCTGGGAGGTCTTTAGAAGGAACAGCTCTATGAAGACAGTGACTGCATTACTACACAGACACACACACACAGACACACACAGACACACACACACACAGACACATACACACACAGACACGGAGAGCTCCCATTGGCCACTCTGCTCTAATGTATTCTGGGCTTTGTCCTTTGTTTCCCCATACAAGAGGCTGCTGACGTCAGGGCCTCTTGCACAGTGGCTCCTGTGAGTCACCCTGCAGGTTATGGAGGTGAGCTGAGGCCCCTTGGCCCCGTGTTCAGAGATGGAGAGACTGAGCATTTTGTCAGTAACAGGTATGTGATTATCCCACATTCTCTCAAAATAATAAAAAGCTTTACATTTCTATTTCCTCAGGCCCTTAGCATTTTACATATAGCTCTCTGAGTATAAATACTACAAATATGCATGTTTTAGTTTAAAAAATATTTATTATAGAAATGTACATTAATTAGTCTTAAGGAATGCACTTGTCAATAGTGTTAGCATGTATCTCCTCAAACTGTAAACTTTACATCTTTAAGATATCTACAGAGATGGTTTATTTACACGTTTTACAGGAATTCCCTTCCCCGGGCTGTTGCCACAGTTACGATGGGACCATCAGAGCCAGAGCTCGCTCACTTCACTCTGTACTTGTAGAAAGAACACAGCGCGTGGGTAAAGTTCCACCCCAGCGCAAGCGACAGCCCGAACAGCAGAATGAGCGGTGCAAAGGGATAGAGAAGAATCACTGTGTTTTTCAAAAATGGCAGTGCTGGAAAAGAAATCAGATTGATTTATAAGAAAAGAAACAGGACTCATAAGTGAACACTCTGCAAGACAGCTCTCTTCAACACACGGGGCCACGGGATCGCAACTTCCGAGTTCGCCGCTGCTGCCCGTGTGCTGCCTTCTCATCAGGGCCGAGAGGAAGTGGTGAGCGGCACTGCTCAGGCGGGGGCCGAGCAGGACTAACGGGCTGGGGACGTGCTAAGAGCGACTGCCGCAGAAGCCTTTGTTTCATTTTGTGTGCTGGGCAGTAAATCCAGGGCCTCGCACACGCCGGACAGGCACCCTACCCATGAGCCACATCCCAGCCCTTTGTTGTTTTGAAACAGGGCTTCACTGACTTGCCCCGCCTGGCATTTAAGGCTGTGCCACCCTCTCCAGCCTCAAAAGCCTAGCTTAAAATACAGACGAAGGACATTCTAGGAAAGAATGAATTTTTAGCTGACATTACCCAGTGCAAAAAACATCACACCCAAGCTTTAGGAAAGAACTAAAAGCTGTTTTACAAAAATCTGACCCCAAGTACCCATATTTCTTACGCACTGTTACTCAGTAGGCCCTACCCCACACAGTCTGACCCAGCTCTCACACGGGCGGCTCCTAAGGGGAGACACGGGCAGTGTTCCGGAGTCCACCTGGACAACCCGCAGTTCTGCAGCATGGCACACAACTTAAAAGTTCATTACAAGCCTGAATATAAAAACCACAGATCTTTTCTCCGGACTAGAAAAGGACTCTCAATGCCCCAAGCAAGAAGCCAGGGAGTTTGATGAGGGGGATTAAGGCTCCCGGAATCAGGCGTGGCGTGCGCACAAGTGAGCAGAGGAGCCGCCAGAGGTGTGGTCAGCTTACAGCCACGTGAGGAGCCCACCACGAGGGTAGTGGAAGGAAAGGCTGTGTGTGCACGGACACACATCTACACGTACGTGTGATTACGGAATGCTAAGACATCCTAGGAATAAGCCTGTTCTGTGATCACATTAAGAAAGACGACCCGAAAGCAGGATTTAAGAACAAATTTGAAAATATTCCCGAGCTAAGAGTTGGGCCTGACCTGTGAGCTCTGCAGAACCATCACAGTGACCACAAGGATTAAAAGTGAGCAAGAGCTGCCGCCTGGAGGTCTGACTGCAGCTCAGGCACTTGTGATCCTACGTCGGGCCCAACCCTTCCTCGCTCCATCCACTGTTAGTGACTAGGAACCTGGAGAGAAGAGCAGAATGGCCCTGGATTCCTGCGTCACTCGGCGGTAATCAGCATGATTCCGCGTGGCTCCCTAAAGTTATGAAATGTACATCAGATATACCACTTTCTAGCTGTGTGGCCATGGGGAAGTTACTTCATCTTTCACCTGAAAAATGAGCAAATAAACCTGGGCCGTAAAACTGTTAGGAGTGAAAGACAGTTCCTGCACAGTGCCCATCAGGCAGGCCTTTAGTAGTGCACCTAGCACTACACCATGACAGTGCTTCCTCTCGCTGACAGGCTCTGTCAACCAGAACTTTACGGATACTCACCACTGTATCCTAGGAAGGTCACGTAGATGTAATAGCCAACTGCAATCAACCATAAGGTATTTCCAACTAAATACCCAATAAATGTGTCTGTCAGGATGACATCTGCCAAAAGAAGTGCAGACTGTGAGTCTCTGTCCATGTACACATCTGGTGACACTCTAGGAAGCTACTGCTACTTACGGTTGATGAAGAACAGCTGGATAAAATGCAGGATGACTAGGAGTGGATAAAAAGCATTCAGGTGCACGTCAAAGGCGTAGCCCCACTCCACGTCGTAGTCTCTGCTCTGGCGTTTCACCAGGTACTTATTAGAGATGAACCTGAGGAGCAAAATACACATGTCTTTCCTAACATGATCAACCCAACTCACCAATCCCGCCTTCCACGGACCAGGCACCACCTAACCTCTGGAGGGCAGCAGTGAGGTCTCTGCCTTGCCTGGAGACCACTGAGTAAAGAAGTATATCAGAGCATGAGTTTAGGTGGCACATGGTTTCTCTACGTGAGGACCCCAAAATATAAGAGCAAAATAAAAGGTAATAAGAAGTAGGGGGGTCTTTTTCAAATGAGATGGGGGAAGGGAGGAGGAAAGAAAGGATTAACAAAAAGATCGAAAAACATGAACATAGAACTTCTACAAAAGGGAGGGACAGAAGAGCTGGAAGGAGCAGGGAGGAGGGGTGGGGAGGGGAGGAGTGCTACGGTCCAATGCCCCACGATACATACAACCACATACTGCAAACACGGACAAGTAGAGGACAGTAAAAGAAAATCTCTGCCTTCAACTGTGGGGAAGACTGACCAGAACCTAACTGGATGTCAGGCGGGACCTGCGATGTGGTCTTAAACATGAAGGTCATAAAGTAACACTAGGTGAGGACCCAAGGGTGCGGCGGTCCTGGCCTCGGGATGAGCAAGCGCGATGGAGAATGGGCAGTGTGGTCAGGCAGGAAACACAGCCAGATCTTAAGGGGCTTCTGGCCATTTAAAGACATCTTGCTTTTATTCTGGGTAAAGAGAAGCCACTGTGGAGCGGCAAGAAGTGTCTGGCAAATGACCTGGTGTCCCTGCTGGCCGCGCGGGAAGCAGACACCAGGCACAGGAGCAGAAGCAGCCGGTCTGGAGGGTGGGGCGAGTGTGGGAGTTTGGGATGGACCTGTCGTGCTGAAGATGCCTATCAGTATGCCATAAGGAGCTGCACACGAAGCCCACGGTCCAAAGGCCAGGTCCATAGTGAAGGAAAAACTCATCAGTGCCTCAGCTGCCATAATCTCAGCACTCCGGGAGGCTGAGGCGGGAAGACTGCAAACTCCAGCCCTGCCTAGAAAATGCAATGACTTAGCAAGACCCTGTCTCAAAATTTAAAAAAGGGCCAGGGATGTAGCTCAGTGCAAATGTCCTGGTTCCATCTGTAAACAAAACAAAAATCTCACTATTGTGTAGATGATATTTAAAGCCAGACCGCAGACTGATGTGACCGAAAGAATAAACAGCAGATGCATTCAAGGTCTATAACCTGTGCCAACCTCCGGCTAAAAGGTGAGAGCAGGCTGAAACCAAAGAACGGGGCCAGCAGCGCATCTGGCCATAGAACAGTTGCTCGAGTGGCCGGCGGCGCTACAGTGCGGGCTTCTGGTGCAGTACAGTGGTGAGTGAAGGCCAAATCCAGGGACAGAAAGCAGCTCTTCAAAGAAAAGCCAAAATGGTATCTGGAGAAAGTCAATGTACCTTGTTATGTGTCACTGTCTTTCAATTCAAGGATACAATTAAGAAAATGCTCTTCCTACAATGGAGATAAAAACAGAAGACAACATGGTACAGTATAACAAACAGTCCTGCACTTAGTCATCTAAAAATGTCTAAAGTAGCACTGCTTCACCTGGACGGCACAACTTAAACATTCTGTCTCAGCCAAAAACATGCAAATTAGAAGTCTACAGAAAGAGGGCGATGAGCCAGCCACAGAAAGACAGTACCGTGTGCTCTCAGAGGTTAAGGACAAAACGACAGCTCGCGAAGGAAGGAAAAGTCCCTAGCGGGTAAGAAGGGCGGGGACAACAGCGGGATGTGGATAAAGGGTGTCAAAGCACAGACACACGAGGACTAAGTTCTAGTTCCCATGGCACGGCAGGCTGGCTGTAGTTTACAATTTACTACACATTTTATAAAGAACTAGAAGTCCCAAAGTTGCCAAAAACAAAGCCCATGGATGTTTAAGGAGACAGAAACGCTAACAGCCTTGGCTGGCTCCCTGCACACTGCGCACACACGGAGTCATCTGCAGCATAAATACACGCAGTTCGAATCCTGCAGCAGCCTGTCCTCGGCTCCCGGGAGCCCCTTCCGCAGCCACTGTCCCCTTGGCCACCCTTCAGTGGGCACAAAGGCCAGCTGGCTTCCCCACCCACCTGCCAGGCAGTGGCGCCCTTCACAGCCCATCTCAGCCACACTGCTGCGTCCTCTGCCTCAGTGTCCCGTGACCTTTGTTTGCGCTCAACACACCACAAGCTCCCGGCTCTACATGCCCAACGCCGAATGCGAAGCACTAAGCCCCAAGCTTGCAGGCCCCGCCAAAGGAGGCCCCGCCGCTGCCACCTCCCGCCCAGCCCTCGCCAAGTCCTGCTGTGCCGGGCGCTCTCGCTGGACTCGCCCCGTCTCTGTTCCTGTCACCGCTTTTGGTGTCCCCTGCTCTTCCTCGGGCTCCAGCAGTTCTACCCGCTTTGCCCCTTCCCGACACAAGGCGCTCCTCACTGCAGCCTCCGCGCTCCGCTGCTCTTCCCTCCTCCGGCCACGCCTGCAGTATCGTGTTCTACGGACTGCTCTAAAGCCCACTCCTCCACTCTCACCTTTCCCCACTCAGCGTCACCCTCTCCCCCAGACCCAGTGTGCCGCTCCACACTTTTACACCTCTACATTTGGTCATCTGGTGCCCAAAATGCTGTCTCCCTAAAATGCCACCTGACGTTAGCTTGTGTGGCGCTTCTGAGATGGTCAAATTTACATGCAATCATTTCTATTTCTGGTTCCTCACATGGTTCACATTACAACACGGATGTTCAAAAACAGTATGTGAAGTTCTTGTCTACTTAACAGAAACCCCGAGACAGACTTCTGCGGACGATGCTGAGCTCCAGGGTGACTTAGGCTCTGGCCACGAGTCACCACATTCCTAGCACAACCCTTGCTACAACCTCAACTACTCCTCGGAAAGCCTTACCTCTTCAGGTTTTTTCATGTGCCATGTCTTCCTCATGGCTACCTTGATAGTGAATAGGTGATGCACAGTGGTTAGCTGTATTAATTTTAGATTAATGGTGCACAGCACTTATTAACTACCCAGCACACACAGAGCTGGCACTTTATCAGGCAGAAGTTACAAAGGATAATCAAAGGGTGGTATCAGAGATTACAGTCTTGTTTAAAATAGTAATAGCTACCATATATTGAGCCCTTAACATGTGCCCAGTACTTATCACACCACAATGCCCTACAGAAATCTGACAAAAATGATCATCCACTCCATTTGACAAAAGAGGAGGCTGAGTCTAGAGTTATGCAAATGACTGTGCTGGCAACTGAATACAGATCACTCTGGGACTAAAACACTCCGAGTTTCCCGGATATACACTGAGCACCAGTCCTGCTCAAGCACGGGCTACACTCATTGCCCTCGGCCTGCAGGCCAGGCCACAGCAGCACGCTCCCTGGGAGAAAAGGCCAAAGAGGAGACTTACCCCAGGCACTTCTGGCGGTCAGTCAATCCCAGACAAAGTCAGACTGGGAGCTCTTTTACTAAAACGTGTGTGTGTGTGTGTGTGTGTGTGTGTGCGCGCGCGCGCGCGTGTGCGCGCGCGCGCGCATGAGAGAGAGGGGGCGGGGAGAGGGAGAGGGAGAGAGATTTTCAGCAGGAAGGAACTACAATTTTTAAAAATTCTTTTTCCAGTGTACTTCACCTAATATCAAAGATTCAAAGTAAGATTCTATAAAGTAAGCCTCTTGATCTAAATGGGTCTTAGCACTACAGAACACTTCCCTACACCTGGAGCTGTCCACACTGACAAATGCAGAAAATGGTGCCATCACACCACCTACACAGAATTGATAAATGCATAACATTTTTGTAAAACCAGGAATTCTGTTAATATGATATAATCATTATTTCTATTACTGGCCACATGGATAATATAAAGCACTCCTTAAGGGAACTTCCTGACAGTGGTAGGAACACAGGAAGGCAAGTTAAAACCCTTTGGCAGCAAAACATTTCCGTTACTTTATCTTAGTTTCAATTTCCATCAGCTACTGTACCTCTGAAGGAAACAAATACAAGCTCTACAGTATCTAAAAAACCAAAGTTAGTGGTACTCACCACATTAAGGTTGATATCAGAAGGCCAACGCCCACACAGTCTATGAATACTACCCACAGGAGAAGTTTTATTGTCTCAAAAAATCCCATGTCCAGCACAAAACCAAATCCTAAAGTGGACACTGAAAGAAAGATTTACAAGATTCACTCAGGCATTGTGCTAGATTCTGGGGCTACAGCACACATTCCTTGGTGTTAAGGTTTCAATCTTAAATGTCCCTGGAAGGGCTATGTCCTAAAGGTTTGGCTGCCAGCCTGTGGTGCTACCGGAAGGGGATGGCACCTTTAGTTGGTAGGGCCTAGTGGAAGGAAGTTAGGTTCCTGAGGGTGTACCCTGGAAAGGGATATCAGGACCATGCCCTCCCAGGCCCTCCCCCGCCCCTACTAGCCACCACCAGGAGGTGAACAGCTCTGCTGCATCACAAACTCCCACCATGTTCTTTTGCCTCACCACAGGCCTACAACAGGCCAGTGACCATGGACTGAAATCTCTAAACCATGAGTCAAAAAACTCATTTCCTCCTTTTAGGTTATCTCAGATATTTTGTCCCAGCAATGGATAGCTAATACACTTAGCCACCAGATTCCCATATGGACAATGAAATAAAACTCCAAAGATGTGTTTTATGTAACTGATGTACAAGTGCAAACTACTTTGGAATTTGGATCTATGAAACTTACTGAGCAGGGCTCTTGCCATGGTAATTCACCATGATAGCCATGGCATTCACAGTAGTGCTGGCATACAGGGACCTCACATATTTGACCTCCAATTAAGGTGAAATACACCCGCACACTTCAAAACCTTACACAGTTTAACATACGACTGGTACCCATTCAATACACTACCGGAGAACTTAAAAGCGGGTTTTCAAGTTCACATCAGTACTTTTAGAATTCTCTGGATTTGCCTAATTGTGAAACGCAATCTCCAATGTTGATATTCCTTTTCATGGCAAGACAGAATTTGTATATCAGCTTGCAGTAGCTAAAAACACAGAGTAAATCTTGTTCCCTCTTTTCAAATCCGGAAGTAGCAATTTAATTTACTCCGGTATCTGCTTGGGATGTGCAAAAATACATCTCTTTCTTATGAGATTTTTGAGGGTTCAGAAAAAAGAAACGATTACACGTAGCCCCAAATTGAGACCTACAACACATTACATATCAAAAGATCCTCCCAATGACAAGCCTACTCTGAAACAGTCAATTCTTTCTTCAACTCTAAGGGAGATAAAGTAAGACTTACCACAGAGCCAGATACTTAACAGGACCAAGAAAGCAGGGTCATCCCTGGCCCACTGGTCCTTTGTCTGCTTCCTGTAATGAAAGTTTCTATAAACCCTTTGTGGGGAAGTGAACAGGTAGAGCATCTGCCAGGCAGCAAACTCAAAATCCATCTGCCGAAAACGAAAAAGCCTCCTGAGGTATTTGTAGCGCTTTGCTCCAGCTGTATGTCTTGCTGCATCCCTGGAACTCAAGACTCCATTCCCATGCACTGAGGAATTCACTGAAGTACTTGGTAACATCTTCCTAGATGGAAGAAAAAAGATCCCTTTTACACACAATCCGAAGGAACCTGTTGGCTACCAGCAACCCCTCTTTCCAAGTTATTAAGCAGGGAAGGTCACTTTACGGTTTTTTCCACCCTCTGAGGGGTCGGGGTCACAAGGGAACTGAGTCCGGGCTGAGGCATCTGGGCGCTGGAAGACTGCAGACAGCAGCTCCGGCTGGGGTAGCGCCAAGCCCTGAGAACCGTGGAACAAGATTTAATCACGATCCATGCGCTTCTCACACTCCGCCTCGCTCTATCCTCAGCCCTCCCAGGCAGCTAACGTTAGTAGAGGAGGAGAAACGAGGCTCTGGAAGACAAAGTGAGCCCCCTATGGGCACGACTGCGACGCCGCCAAGACTGGAACTCTGGCCCAAAATTCCGATTTTTATATCACCAACCCTTTAAGCCTCTGAGTCGATTAGAAAGCAACGTTATTCACACAGGTCCATCAGCGTACGACCAGCAAGCTCCTCGTTTAGAATGTGACATAAAAACAAAGCAGAACTCCACAGCGCTTTACTCCCAGAACAGTCCACCTGGAAGAGTGACAGCTTGGGAGCCCAGGGCAGCTGGTTCGAAGGCGAGCGAGCGCAGCTCACCGCCCGATCCCCACGCCCACGGCCCGGCAGCTCGCCCCACTTCTCAGGCTTCCGGGACGCCAGCGGCGCCCCGCCCCGCCCCGCCCCGGTGCCTCCCCTTCAGACCCGGGTTCAGGAGCGGCTGCAAGGGTTAGCAGGTAAAAACACAGCCCACCCAGTTACACTGGGATTTCGAACAAGCGAAGAGTCCCATGCAATATTTCGGACACGCTTACATCAAAAATTACTGCTTTATCTGTCACTCTTAATGTAAAGGAGAGTCCTTCATTTTATCCAGCAACTCGACTGTGGGCCCCGCGCCCCAGGGCCGGCCAAGGGAATGGTCACGGCCTAATCGCCGTGACGCCCGGCCACGAGCCGCCGGAGGAAAGGACCGCTGCGCGAACGCGAGTCGCGCGCGGGCGGAGAAGCCGTCAGGTCTCACCTGGGGCTCCGGTGTGGCCTCAACCCAGCGCTACTTTGCCACCACTGCCCAGACGCCCAGGCCAGCCGTGGCCGGGCCAAATTCCCTTCCTGCTACGTAGCCGGCGCTCAGGGCGCGCCTTATTACGTCACTACGTCCACTTCCGTCGCGTGAGCTCGATGCCTCTCGGGACTCGTAGTTCTTCCGCCTCACATTCGGAGACCTACCGGAAGTTACCTGACCTCTTCCGGTTTCTTCGGCTGTGGGCGTCGTTCGCCCGCCAGCTAGGTAGCAGCGGTTGGAGACCCAGAGGGTCGAAGCGCCGGCGGGCGGGAGGCATCGTCATGCCCCGTTATTACGAGGACAAGCCAGAGGGCAGTGCGTGCTCGGGTTTGAAGGAGGACCTGGGGGCATGTCTGCTGCAGTCGGACTGTGTGCTGCAGGTAGCGCGGCCGGGCACTCCGGGTGGCCGGGCTCGGCAGCGGTCTCCCTGACCGCCTGTGGCTGTAGGTCACGGCTCCAGCTACTCAACTCTGGCCGATCCCTGGGCTGTCGGAGCCTCGGTTCTTTCTGGCGTTCAATAGGAGATAACCATACCCGCCCCTTCGGGTGTTTGTAAATATTAATTAGGCCATTTGGGTTCCAGAAACATTTATTGAACGCTGGCAGTCTGCTAAGTACTGGAGAATAAGAGTTTTCCGGAGCGTGTTAAGAGATGAGAATGTACCGAAGCAATTATGTTAGAGTCCCATAGACCTGCCCTGGCGCGTGGTACGGGCTAGCAGTTTCTGCTCTGTGGCCTTGGCCTGAAGCTGTTGTGTATTTATCTTGTCTCGGTTTTACAGTGATCTGTCTCTTGAATTGAAGTGCTTTACGTTCTCGGGCGTTACGTTCATATTTTCACCGTTCTGTAACCCCCGCCCTTCTTCCCTGCTAGAGTCCCAGGGCTCCTCAGCCCTCGACCTGACTGCGGTGAGACACAGTGAAGTTAACAGTTTGATCCGGGACTCGGGTTTTTGGTATTTTTTTTTTTTTTTTGGTACCGGGAATCAAACTCAGGACCTTACACTTGCCAGGCAGGCGCTTGCGCCACTGAGCTACATCCCCGGCCCGGGAGTAGGGTTTTTGAGCCCGAGTAAAGCGCACAGTGTTCCTTACAGAGGTCTAATGAGAGGGTAGTCAGTTATTGCAATCTCTGCATTTGGGGGTGTAATTTCAAAACGCTGCTTGCGTTTCAAAAAAAGGACTACTGCCCCCAAATGGATGTTTCTACTGAATCGCGATTTATGGCTGGTTCTCTGATTCTAGCAATTAGACTCAACTCCTAGTGTCTAGGAAAACTTCAGAGTTGTTATAAAAATGAGATGATCAAGTCCAGCTTCTTTATACAGATGAGGAAACCGAGATGCCTGTGGTTTCAGACTCCCATATCCAGGGATGCTTTTACTTTGCTGCTTTATTCATTGGTGCCTATGTTCAGCAAGGTCCTAGTAAATGCCTGGCATTGCTGGGCATGTTCAGTGGCAGGCGTGGTGCCAGGCACGGGGGATACAAAAATGAATTTTACTTCTGACCTAAACTTTTATTGATGGGAGACATACACATGGATGGGATTCAATTCCAGTAATAAGGCCTCTGTGTTAGTAAATATTTGTTTAGAGTCTAGGAGAAAAATTGCCGAGTCCAATTTAGAGCAACTGCTTGTGCTTCAGAAGTTGGAAACTTCTCACAGAGGAGCTGACCTTTGAGCCAGAGACTTAAAGGCTGAGGAGCAGTTTATCAAATAAAGGAGTGGTGGCTCTTAAGATCATGGGGAGAATCTGAACGCACAGCAAGTGCAGAGGCGTGGAGATGTGGGAGGGTCCAGAGGGTCCTGCTGGGCCTGGAGCATGGAGACTATGACAGGAGGCGTGAGGAAGGTTTCAGTCTCATCTGAAGGTCCCTGTGTGTCAGGAGGAGCTAGGATTTCTGCCTTTCACCACTAGGAACGCCGTGGAGGCGAGCAATGGGAGAGAAGACACAGAGTAGGCTCAAGGAAAGAAACTGGGAGTGGAAGACAGTACTAATAGCAAGAATTTTTTTTTTCAGTGATTGAACACATTTCCAAGTGCCAACACTCTCAAAGAATAAATACGGTGCTGATGAGTGGGTTGCCTTTTGTCATATGTAGAAAGTGGGTCTCTGGAAAGCTAGCAAGCCTTGGGCAGAGATATGACCAGGGCACCTGGTCCAAGCCTTCTGTTCCTCCCATTACTGTACATGGTCTTACTGATGCTGAATGTGGCCCACCAGAAGCTGATGTTTACAGACAGTCCTGTCTGAAGTGCATTTGTTGTATGTGTTAATCCTTGATGGTGAGTCGGCTAGTGTGGAAGGGCAGTGGTGAGGCAGAGGATTGAGCTTTGCAAGTCAAGACAATCCCCTGTCTTCTTGGGTGGTGTCATGATTACACCGGCAAACCATTCTTCACTAGGATTCTGATGCCAAGGGAAGCTCCTGTGAGGTCTGGGTCTGCTGTGTGGAGACTGGGTTCCTTAGCTTCCAGAATAAAGAAGTTACTCTGATCTTCAGGCAGATGGGTGGTGCCATCTCCCTCCTTGCCAGTCTTTAACTCCCCTGAAACCTGCAGCATCTCACTGGAGGGAAAAGGCCAATATACAGGAGTATTCTGTTCTAGGTGACATGGCCAAGGAATTGTAGGGACCCAGAGAGACTCAGGGTAGTGGTGGTAAGGGTGTAAGTTCCAGAGATGAAGTGAGGAAAAAGCAGATACAAATGCATCTCTGAGGTAGACTTCTTAAAGAGTTTTATGACATCTCAAGATCAGAAAGGCTCAACCCACAGACCCGCTGACTTTTCAGAATCACCTACAGGTGGGGCAGGAGAGCTCGAAAGTAGATTCCACTGCTGTCCCGACAACCCAGTGAGTTAAATGTGTACTATGTTGGTTCTTGGGCACAGCCATTTTTGGGAGCACTGGCTGATTTTGATCTCAGAAGACAAAAAGGCTAGGAAGTTACTAGGATATAGGAGTATTTTGTTTTTGTTTGCCTTTTTGAGCCAGGGTGTCGCTATGTAATTCAGGCTGGCCTTGAGCTCACCTTGTAGCCCAGGCTGGCGTTGAACTCGCAATGATCCTCCTGCCTCAGACACCCGAGTGCTGGGATTACAGGCATGCGCCACCACACCTGGCCTAAGATGCAGGTATAAGTGGCTTAAACAAGGTAGAGTTCTTGCCTTTGCTCTTGTCTTTATGAATAGGGCCTTGGTGGTTTCCCTGCCTCCCGTGGACCCAACGGCTACTATCTAAGTACTGTGACAGGAAACACGTTGTTGCCCTCTTACTCATGGTCTGAGATAGCCTTGCTACATCATCAGGCTTTATAGTCTTATGAATTAAAGTGGGGGAAAGGGGACGCCTCTCTCCACTAAGCACTAACCTTTTTTTGTGTTAACCCTGATTCTTTACACATTTCCCAAACAGTCCATTAGCTAGAACTAAGTGACCGGGACTGGCTCACAGAAATCTAAGTCACAGAAATCTACCTCAACCATGTGCATGACTGAAAAGGAGGAGTGGCTATTCAGAGAGAAGGCACAGGGCTGGGGATTTAGCTCAGCGGCATAGCGCCTGCCTGGCAAGCGCAAGGTCATGAGTTCGATTCCTGGTACCGTAAGAAAAACAAAAAACAAAACCAAAAAAAAAAAAAGAGAGAAGGCCCAGTCTCACTGGGAGTGGTGGTGGGGGTGAAGTACCACATCTCTCTCAGCTTTAGTGTATCTTGATGGATCTTTCCCCCGTGCAGTTGGTAGTATAAACTGAAAGCTGGTAGCATCTTGGATATAGCTTGGGGAAGCACCAGCTTATATAATTACAGTCTTTTGTCTGCCCTCCCATCCTTCCTGTGGGCAGCTCACCCCATCAGCAGCAGTGCTAAGTTTCAGGAGGAATGGAGGAGCACATACAGCACTCCACTTTTGAGTCACTGAGGTCGATGACAACTGAAATAGGGGACCCAGACGAGAAAGAGGCCAAGATTCCTCGGAACAGGAACATCCCATGCATAGTACTTGGGAGCTTTATTCATAGTGAAAACCAGGCAAATATGACTGTCACTGACGAAGAAAGGTTTGGGGGAACAGGTCCTCAGGCTGGGCTGAAGATCAGTTTCCTCGAAGGGAAAACCATGGCTGCAAAGCAGGTAAAATGGGGTTACATGTTCCTGGAGGTGATCCCCAGCCTCCCTCATGAGGCATCTCTGTGCAGTGTTTCCTACCACCACTAACAAGGTTCAGGTTTTAGGGTGCCTGAGTGACAATTTTCACCCGTAAGGAGCTAAAGATACCAGTTTCTACATTTTTATATAAACATATTAAAGAAAAGTGTCCCACTGAAACCAGTGTTTTCAAAAACTCAAGTTCTGCCTTAAAGTGCCCAAAAGTTATTTTACAATTTTTCATTGTATGCCCTTTCTCTTTAAATAGCAACCGTCAAAACAAATTAAGAACTATTTCTTACATAACTGTTTTTAATAGAACTTTTTAGAAGGACAGTTGTTTTGTAGTCTGGGAAGAAACTTCCCAGGTATTTATACTGTTCTGTGTCACAGGAAGGAAAATCCCCTCGGGAGTGCTTGAAGGAAGGATACTGCAGAGCTCTGAAATACTCCTTTTTTGAGTGTAAAAGATCAATGGTAAGTGTCTAAAAGATTGTAAAAAGCTTATGCTAAAAATTAGCTATGCAGGTTTAAATATGCAAGTGACTTAATAGTCATAACTAGGTTGCAGCAGTATAGTTTGGAAAAAAAGGATGTAGACAGTGGCTGTTACTCCAGGGAGTTAAACATTAGGTGGCATTCATGAAGACCCTCTCCGATGGTTGTAACCTAGTCAGGGTGCAGACGTGGCTGTGGTGGCCTTCACGGGGTCCGCAGTGTGCGAATGAAACCTCGGTTAGTAGAAGGGGGTCAGAGTTGGTGGTCACCATGAACTCAGCTCACTTGGTGTTATGCTCCAGCCCACACTGTCCAGGCTGAAGATGTGTGCACTTCTGCCCAGGTGGCTAGAGAAATGTGTCAGTATGTTTGAATTTTGGAGTGAGGGATTGTGGAAGGAGGCCCTAAGGAAACATTACTAAACTCAGGTTCAAGTGACAGTTCTCTGCCACATTTCCCTGTCCTTTAACGTAGAGGAAAATTTTCCTTCCCTTGCTTCACGTAGTCTTGCTACCCATGTACAGTGAAACCTTTAGAATTGTCAGTAATTTCAAAGCATGCTTAGATCATTGACAAGTCAGAAAGAACAGTTAGGGTAAGGGTTTATAATGAGCTGTACCACACAAACCTGTCTAATGACTAAATTTACAGTAAACTCCCTGAAATTATATGCCTACAGATTATTCTTTGATCTCCAAAAGTATTCAGAAATGATTGCTTTTCACAATTCACTCACCTTCTGCAGAAATTTGAAACAATCATGAATAAAAAGTGAAAGTGCTCTCTGACTTCTGCAGTGCTTCACTTACTGTGGCATTAGAAAGAGTAGTCCAGGGAATTTTCTAGTGGACTGTAGTAGGTCCTACATTCTTCCCAAAGCCAGAGTCCCTACTGGTCCTCAGAATGGATGGAGTCATGTCATGCTTAACAGTAGCTATGCTGGACTCACTGCCAGGCCCATCTCCAAAATGATTCCTTCCTGGGGAATTTCTGGGCATGACACTGCCTTCTATGCAGTTAGTCCTTATGCTTGACTGTCTTAGGTACCTTTCTCTCGTTGCAGAGACAAAATACCTGACACCCAAAGTTAAGGGAGGAAAGTTTGTTTAGCTCAGTTTGTAGAAGTTTCAGTCTATAATAGGTTAGCCCCAAGGCAGGACAGCATGGCATTGCAGAGCGGCAACAGTTAATGGCTGTGGAAGACAGCAAAAGCAACAAGAGAAAGCATGTGGACAAGCCTCTTTCGTCCCTTATATTGTATGCAGGCTACCTGCCCTAGGGCAAGTACAGCACTCACGCCTTTTTTTGTTTGTTTGTTTGTTTTTGGTTTTTCTCCTGTACTGGGAACCGAACTCACGACCTTGCGCTTGCCAGGCAGGCGCTTTTGCCGCTGAGCTAAATCCCCAGCGCCCCAGCACTCACACCTTTAATCCCAGTATTAGACCATGAATCAATTACAAACTCTAGATTCAGCCACTCTGAAAAGCCGTCTGCCCCATCACCTCCTGAGGCTTTAGGGGATATCCAGACACAAACTGTTACACTGACTTCAGAAGCCTCCACTCTTTTGGCCACCGTGAAGAAGTGGCTGTACTCAGACTTGTCAAGAAATGTCCCATCAGCCTAGAAGGCAACTCACATTAAGGGCTTTCAACGCCAAGAAGACTGCGTTAATATTTTTGTGTTCTCTTCCCCTTTTCTCTATTGCCATTTCAAGATTTCAAATATATCTGAATATTCACCTAAATAAAACTTAACTGGAATTTTAAGTTTTCGAGAAGAACCTAAATATTGAGTGTCCAAAGGAAAAGATAAGTATAGTTTGGGCTCTGTTTAAGAAGAAAATCCGTACTGATCACCCTTAACTGGAACTATTGTCTTTAGAGCCATTTTTTTTTTACTTCCTTATTGTTTTTTTCTAGGTAGCTCTAATTGATTTTGTTGGAAGCTGGTTTATTCTTTCATGTGTGACTGACAATTGCTACCAAAGTTGTGTTTAGTTAATTATATTGTACCAAATTTGATTAAATTGTACATTTATTTTCAGTTAGATGCCAGATCAAGATTCAGAGGAAGAAAAGGATATTGAAACCATTTTGCTGATGGCAAGATGAAAGCCAAGAAAAGATTCCTCTGCTCATTATCATAGAAAAGCCAGTAATTTTTGCTGTGTTTGGTTGGATCCGTTTTTTCCACACAACACTGGAAAAAACGAGAAGAATTCTGTTTTTTAATCTCTATGAAGGGAAACGTTTCTCCTGCTCTACATTATTTTAGGAGGATCAATTTAGTTGAATAGTTTTGAGGACTATCCTAAAGCACAAGGAATGGTAAGGTTATTTTCAAACTTGACTCTTCAATCAAACTACAGATTATGTACATCAGGAAGCCACTGATGCGACTGACAGTCAATAATGTAAAGCCTATCCAGACGAAGTTTATTGGAGAAGTTTAGGATAAAGCTTTTTCTTTTACTCAGTTTGGTTTTAAATAAACTGTTTGACTCTTGGAGGGGAAATGCTTCATTTGCACCAATTCACTGGAATACGGACCTCAAAACTTTAAATCCCTCCCCTGGCATAGCTGGGTGCCAAGCCTGGATGGTACTGCCGGGGCTCCTTCCATCTCTCAGCCTGGTCCGCTCCATATAATGAGCCAATATCGGCCTTAGGCCCACAGCTTTAACATCTGAGATCCAAAAGGAAGAAAGCAAACTTTCCTTACGAGGTCCACAAATCAGATCCTACTGAGGGACTTGGGTCTCCCCTGGATCACCTGTCCTGGGCAAAACCACCTGGCGCCTGATCTTGGCCAGGCCTGGGTCCTATGCACCATGATTGATAACAATCATGGGAATCACACTGGATGGGTGATTGGCTGGACCTAAAGTAGGAAGTGGAGCAAACTGAAACAACAGATACTTACTGTAGACAGCAAAGGTGAAAAATAGGAAGTGCTGGAGAAGTTTCAAGTTCAGGCTTTTTTTTTTTTTTCTTTTTTTTTGCTGTGCTATATGGTTTGAATCCAGGGCCTTGAGGATGCAGGGCCAAGTGCTATACTACCGAGCTGTACCGCCAGCCCTAAAGTCACAGTAATTTTATTCTAATCACTTAATACAGTAGAGCCAAATAGGAATCCAAGTTCCCAACTTTATTTTTGGCACTGATGATCAATGAAGAGCCATAGTGTCTCCACAGTGTAGTTCAAGCAACCAAGGTATTGTATCGCTCACTTAGGGTTCATCTGAAGTGAGAAGCCCTACAATATCACTCAGGTCTGATGTGTTGACTGCTTTCCACGGGGAAGGGAAAATGATGGGTTTCTTAAGTAACTACTGTCTACCTATTCAAGGCCTACAACGTTTCTGGTGGTGCTGGGTACTAAACCAACGGCCTTTTGCATATGCCAGGCGACCACTGTAACACCGAACTAAACTTCTAGGCCTAAGTGCTACAGCTTCGTACAGTAATTCTGATAAACTCTCTAAAATGTTTTTATAAAACCCATCTTGTTTACTTTTAGCTTTATTGAGCCTTTACTGGAGAAATTCACATATCACAAAACTGACCCTTCAAGTATAGAATTCAGTATTTTTCCTGTATCCACAGGGAGCAACCATCACAATTCTAAGATGTTGTCATCCCTCCAAGGAGAAACTTCTACCCACCAGCAGTCTCCTCACTTCTTCCCCTCCACTGCTGGTAACCGTCTCTAGAGGGTTGCCTGCTCTGGGCTTGTTCTATACATGAAATAGAGTATACAGTATGTGGCATTTTGTGACCGGCTTCTGTCACTTACCATGTTGTCAAAGTTCATCCATGGGTAGCATGTATGTACTTCATTACTTACTGCTGAATATTGTTCCTTAGCACCATAGTTAGTTTATCTGCTCATCACTTAACTTCGCATTGCTTCTACTTTGGCACTATTATGGATAAAGCTATGAACATCTGTAAACAAGCTTTGCGTGGACACACTTTGCTTCTCAAGTATAAACCTAAGAGTAGATTACAGGATTGTATGATGACACCACCTTTAACGTTTGGATGACTTGTCAAAATTTTCCAGAGGCTGCACCACCCTATGATGTTCCCAAGAACAGTGTATGAGGTTGCAGTATCTCTGTCATCGCCAAGAATTGTTACTGTTCGTTTTGATTGCAGCCATTCTCCTGGGTATGAAGTGGTATCTAATTGGGATTCTGATTTGCATTTTCCTAGGAGCTAATCATTTGAGCATATTTTCCTGTGTTTATTGGCCATCTGTATGTTATGTCTGGAAGAATGCCTATTCAGGTCCTCAGTCCAGTTTTCAGTTGAGTTGTCTTTTTACTGTTGACTTGTATGAGGGTGTGTGTGTGTGTGTGTCCTGGAGATTGAACTGAGTGTTCGTACACAAGCAGTGTCCCACTGAGCTACATCCCAGCCCTTTTTAAATTTTATTTTGAAACACTGCTGAGTTTTCTAGGCTGGCCTCAAACTTGGGATCCTCTTACCCCAGCTTCCCAAGTGCTGGGGTTATAGGCATGTGCCACCATGCATGACAAAATTTTTTGATGATACACAAAAATACATGTAGCACAATTTCGCATCTTCATCATTTTTAAGTGTACAGTTCAGTTGTGTTGAGTGCATTCATACCGTTACCCAGTTTCTCCAGGCTCCTGAACTGCTCATTTAGTTGCACAATGGAAATGCCACCACCTCATCAAGCAACTCCCCGCCACTGTCACGGCCCCCCACATCCTCAGCGCCGCCTTTCCACTCTCTGTGACCCTGAGTACTTTTCCGTGATTTTTACCTCCTTGGGTAAGTTTACTCCTAAGTATTCCACTCTTTTTGATGGAGCTGTAGTTTCCCTTTCTGATTCTTTATTGAGTGCCTCATGAGTGCCTCAGGTGGGTAGAGTAATATTTGTCCCTTTTTTGCTAGTTTATTTCACCTAGTGAAATGTCGTCGAGGTTTTGCCATATTGTAGCATATATCAGAATTCCCTTCCTCTTTAAGGCCAAATATTCCAGTGCATGTATCTTGTTTACTCATCCATGGATTTTTTCCACCTTTGCATTTCTGTAGATAATGCTGCCATGAACATGGATGTACAGTATCCCTGAGACCCTGCTTTCAACTGTGGGCATGTACCCACCAGCAGAACTGCTGGGTCCTATGGTCACTCTGTTTAATTTTTTAAGAAACTAATACACTTTTCCATTGCAGCCATCCCAGTTTACATTCTGTCACTAGGATGAGCATCAAATAGAGAGATAGATACACTCAACTCCATAAAGCTTTACAACTTCTGTATCTTTACAACTTCTGAATCCTTCTTTCTATAAAGGAAGCCAACAGACAGCTACCAAACAGGTCAAAGACATTTCAACATGACAGGGCTTAAAATATTATATATTAAAAGCACTGATATGAAAAAGACCAATGCAGTCACAAAGAACAAGTGTCAGCGAAGGTATTAGAGATGGGTGATGCTCATACCAAAGAAATGGGAAGTGAAATAAGATGCAACTTCCAGGGTCAATGAGAAGGAAGGAAAAGGCCCCTGCTACAGCCAGGGGTATAAATTCCTGCAGTAGTACGTTAATATTAAGTCATCAAGTCAGGAACATTCCAGCTTTCATGCAGATAAATTCCACTCCCAGGAACTGAGCCAAGGGCTCACTGGGTGCCTGTACCATGCATGAGACTGCACTCAGCAAGTCCCTCCAGGGCCAGGCTGCCCACAGGCCGCTGTTTATGGATGGAGAAAGCTCTATTTCCTGCCACATGCCTCCCAGCCATCTCCCGAGGAACCTACCGTTGTTGTCCACACTTTGCTCTCAGAGGTCAAGCAACTTGGTCCAAGTCACCAGCCAGT